CCCCCTCTTTTCACATGTGACTTGCTCGCCCTACCCCCGCCACACCCCGTTCGTTTCTCCACCTTCTCTCTCATCCGTACCCTCTCCAACTCCGTCTCGCTCTCTGCTGCAAATCTCCACTCCCTCGCCCCTTTCGTTTTCGTCTCTTCTTCCATCTCCATCCATGTATCTCGCTCGCCGTACCCCCGCCATCCCTTTTCACTAGTCCACCTCTCTTCTCCGTTTCCTCTCCCCCTCCCTTTCGGTCTCTGCTGTACCTCTCCAGTCTCTTGATTCCCATTCCCCTTCTCCTCTCTCTTCCTACCCTCCTTTTCTCCTCGTCCACCCGCTTCCTCCCCCTTCGCCAGTCTGAATGGAAGAAGTAATTTGCTCATCTGTCTCCTCCCTCACCGCTGCCCTCGTTATCCCATGCTTTCTTTCCACTTAGGTGTTTGTTGCATTCCCCATACGATGATCGTTAGCCTAGACTGAATTGGCAATCCATCCATTCATGATTTTGGATACCTATTTATTATTCATTTGCTGCAACTCGATAAGAGAAGCCCATAGACATGAAGGTCAAATCAGACACAGCAGAGCGTAGGCAGCGGAGGAAAGGTGTGCGTGAGTAAAACATACATCGTGGAGATATTGGAGGAGATCTCGGCCCAAAACTGGTCAACAAGAAGGTTCAAGTTCTTGAGAGCATGAATCTTCAATTCGTCTTGCTCCTCGTCTAGCATGGCCAGTAGCCCGCTCGCGCTAGTGATGATCGTCATCCTGGTCACCGCCGATCGCGACTGCCAGGATGATTTCCCCTCCCCCGCCCCCTTTCCTCGCTTGCCGGGCAGCCCACTTCCCCCCCCACCTCCCTCTCTCCCCTGCCTCCGCTATTAGCGCTGAGCAACGGTGACGACAACACCAGTAATGCAGAACCGAGAACCGAGATGCCAAAACCCGAGCGCGAGCACCGGCCACCACACCACACTAGCACCACCGACTTCCTTCAAGTCGCTGCCTAGAAATAATGGCGCGGACGTCTGCTCTCCACAAACACACACACGCATACAGCCACGCCCGACGCCCGGCGATGATGATGACTGGAAGCCCGATCCTTGACCTATACTACTGCTTCAAATGTTAGCCCACGTGGGAGGTATACTAATCACAAAGGCGGGGACCCGCACCCACGTGTCTACGACCCCCCCCACGAGTCGCGCTCGAGCTCCCTACTCAACGATCCCTTGCCCCTGTTGCCCACCCGCTGGCTGATCGCAATAGGAACCCCGAGGAGACTGAAGGCTTGCCCACCCCAACTCGGCGAGATGGACACACCCACCGCCCGTGCTTTACTCCACGTCTGAAAAATGCCGGCAAGTGGCTGGCAGTCACCTTGATGCTGGCTTTGCATCCCCCACTATGGTGCTAGGCTATGCCGAAAACCACAGGTAACAGTGGGTATCACCTCCAGCCAGATCTACCTCTTCGCCGTGGAACCCATCAACCCAGCGCCATCCGCGAATGTCGCGCAAGGCCGCACACCAGCAGGAAAGCCAAAGAGAATTCCGCAGAACAGGGGGTGGCGAGAGACCCGCGCGCCGTGAGGCGGGAGCCCGACGGCAAGACGCGCGCCCAGAAACTGCCCTCCTCCCACCTATTTCGAGCCCCCACGTAACCGAACCCCGCGAAGGTCGGCCTCCCGCAGCAGAGACGTCGATTGGAGAAGGGGGAGACTCGCACTACTGGTGGGGGGGGCATCTGCAGGCAGACTGCCCGTCACATCGTGGACTTCGCCGGACGATCAACCGCTGGCCACTCAGGCCTTCACCCGACACCTCGGTAGAACGGATCTTATGGCTGGCCAGAGCTAATGTTCTCCATGCAGCCTTTCCTCCCCGAACCTCTCATGGCGACCGAAGTCCGAAGCACAACCTAGTTTGCAAGCACTTTCGAGCCGGAACAGCGTGCGTGCGTTCTCCATTTGTGCGCGCCTGGCTCTCCCTCAGGGAGATCACAGCCGTAGGGGATGCGTTTTACACGCGAGGCATTTTTTGCTTTTTATTTGTTTAGGCAAATTCATTTTCGGTTCACCAAACACCTCTACATTTTCTACTCCAAAATTGAATTCATCTCCAATTTTCCTTCTTTCTTCCAGTTCACGTTTCAAACAAATGAATCAAGTTTTCAGCCCTTGCTATAGATGTCGAGCCTTAAAGAGCACGGCCCAGCTATAGATGTCGAGCCTTAAAGAGCACGGCCCAGCTATAGATGTCGAGCCTGGAATGCCCCTGCGCGCCAACCTGGGTACCGTTTTGAATTTTTTAGGGCTGGCGCTTCCAGCCATTGTGGTCCGGTACCCCGAAGCCCTAAAGGCGCTGCGCGTAGCTGGGCCAAGTACTGGTCTCTACTCTTCTTGGGGCCGTGTTCGCAGTCCGTCAGGGATGCGCTTTCCCCCCCTGAGACATTCAACGTTCAATGTCAATTTCAACGTTGGTGGTCGTCGGGAGGGTGGGCATTTGAGGTTTTGGGGCCTTGCAAGGGCCAGGAACGCGTAGGACCGGTAGCTGCGAGTAGGAGGCCGAGGAGGCCGCAGTCCTTTTTCGAAATTGAAACGGTGCGGGTAGTCCTTTTTCGAAATTGAAACGGTGCAGGTCCTACATGTATTCGAATATAATCTGTACCCTTTCTATTCGGATTTCGAAAAGAAAAACCTCTTGTATTCCGATAAAATTACTTCTTTTTTTTGTTGGAGGTCAGCACCTGCCCTTGTGATCCCCGCCACTGACATGCTGCATGCTGCAGCTCTCTCTCTCTCTCTCTCTCTCTCTCTCTCTCTCTCTCTCTC